GTTTTTATTACTTTTCTTTGGTCTTGGGCCTTGCCCAGGCACAGCTGGAGTATGGAGGATGGAGTAGTTGCCATGTGGGTCAGGAAGTGAGGGCTGAGGGTTTTAGGTCCTGGGACACCCTCTGCCTTGGAGAGGCTGAAAATGGGAACTTCTGGGCACCTTTGTGCCCTGGCTGGGCAGGGGCCAGGCCAGCATGCCAAGGTGGTCCATTGTTCCTAATGTCAGCCTGATTTGGAAGTATGTTGTGGTGCAGTTGGAGGCCCTTGGAGCCCTGCGTGGGGTCATTGGCCATAAGGTATGGCCTCTGAACTGTGAGGGGTTGTCTAGGGACTCTGGACTGAGTTTGGATCTGGTAACTGTAAAGAGAAACCTATGACTCTCTATAGGTTATTGGGAGTCTCTGGACAAGAGATGAAACCAGTGTGCACTTGAGAGGTTTCCAGGGTCTTTGGACCCAGCCTAGGCTGAGAGTGAGCTTTGATGAGGTCAAAAGCCCAATGAGAAGTTGTCAAGGGTCATTGCATCCAGGCTGTGCTGGGAACATGTGGCTGCATGCTTTTCGAGGTCTCTGGACTCTTGGTTGAGATGCTCTTGGCAGATTTTCCAGTATTAGGTCCAGGATGGACAATGTGGCCAGGAAGTTAGGCCCATGGTCTTCTGGAGGTTCTGGGAAGGGGCAAGTCTTCAAACCCCAGTCAAGTTGTTTGCCCTCCATGAAGTATCATTGCCTTGTGGTAGCTCTAGACAAAATATGGATAGGATCATGTCTGGGGCATTTCAGTCCCTGTCCTGAGCTCTTCTGGTCACTCCAAGAAGATATCAAGCTGTAAGCACAGAGCAGATGAATGGGAAAGATGTATATATTTTACTGGAGCACAGGAAGAGGTGTGTGAAATATCCTACTCTTTAGAAAATCACTCACGTTGTCTTTACTGATGACTTTTTTACACTTATGGGGCAGGGTGTTGATATCTAATTTCACTAGACTTTTCCAGCATTATATGGCATTAAAGCTTTCAGAGTGCTTTCATGTATACCCAGAGTTCTTAAATCAAGGGTGGGGGATGCAAGGGGGTGGTCTTTGGGTGGATTTCAAGGGTCTGAGAACTCTTAGAAATCATCTGAAAAACTGTACACATGTTGTTTTATGGGGGGTGAGGGGGAAAAGTGGTCACAGGGATAAACAAGGAGTATTTGGCCTGTCCAAGAATGGGCTTCAGAGCAATCTGTGAATCCCTTATCATTCATATGAAAAATGGTATAAGAATCTACAATTTTCTGTTGTAAAGAGTTGATTCCATGGCTTACATTTAGAAGGGGATAGTGACCCCCTAAGAGGTTAAGGACTATTGGAATAAAGTAGGCTCCCATATTATTTTTGGGGCCTAGGCATGACTAGAAATGGAGATTCCCCTTTTTCTTCCCACCCCTGCTATTGGTGCACATTTGAAGGTATCTCACACACTAGCCTAAATGTCTGAGCTCAGTTCACCTGCCCCTCACACACAGTCAGGGCCTTAAGTTGCATCAGTCCTACAGTACACTTTCATGAGTATAGGCCGAGGGTTGAGGCCCATGTAGGCCCTAGAGGTGGGCCATTTGGGCCAGGAGATCCAGGGTTCCAAGTTTCCAGAGCATGGTCTAGAATTGAGGGATGGGCACAGGTTCCAAATGGGCACTTCCTAGCTGCCCTTGGATTCCTCAGCCTATGGGGAGGGACATAGCCAGAGGATGTCAGAGTGAGGCTCTCTCCCTGGGTTTAGGCCATACTGGTATTCAGTACTGCTCTTGAAAACAGTCTATGTGAGGAAGTGGATGGTTTTGGAAAAGTTAGTCCCATATTACGGCTGAAGAAAAAGGCTCTTCATTGTGAGGATGTAGTGGAACCTAAGCTTTTTTCTTCTAGTCTAGTTCTTTTTCCACTTAATCCACAAAAGGTGTGCTATGATAGGGTCTCTATGACCTAGATTCAGCCCACCTGGCTATGACTATAAGCTGGTTCTTGGGTTATATATAACATAGATTTAAGGAAGAAAGAAATGAATTCGCTCTGTGGTGTCTCTTCTCTGGATGTATTTAACTAAAAAGATCAAACATTTGAAAGTTTATGTCAAATTTGGATAATTGGTCTTAATCTATAGAAAATGCTGTGGGTGGGGGAGGGTGTTCATCACTTTAATTTAGATAAAGAGACGTGTTCCTGGGAAGAGTGGGAAGTTCATAGAATTTTTAAAAATCAAATCTTGTTACACTTGGCTTTGAAGTTACTCAATATTTAAAATAAATGCAATAAAGGGGGAATATTTTTCATAAAATAAAACCATCCCTTTAATTGGTCTATTTTGATTATTTAATTTTAATTATAATATTTAAAGAGAATCCACACTTGTATTGCTGTATTGATTATTTTTATATCAAGCTGGGTTATACCTGAGGGGGTTCTTGGTCAAGCTTATCAGTAACAATAAAAAATACCAGATTTCTAACTTTACGTAGAATTATGAGTATTATAAAGGACTGAGAGGCAAAAATCATGCCTCCTTTTCCCACATGTTTCTCTTCCAATTATGTCCTACCTAATCCCTCCTACCCACTCTACCCTCTCCCAGAATCCAGGCTTGGTTCCTCATTACCTGTGGTTCCCAGGGAGACGACTGCAGGTGATTCCTATTGAATTAGCCTGGAAAATGAAAGGTGGACAAGGTTTCTGGGACTGGGGACGGGAGACCTTTCAAAAATAAAAAGAGCAGCGTCAACCACTTCTGCTGTCACTGCTCACTCAGTGCAAGATGGCTTGGGCTGTGTCATAGAAAATGGAGAGACAGAGCATGGACTAGAGTGTCACCAGCCTAAGGGCTGAGGTGTAGAAAGCTCTAGAGATACCCCTAAGGAGAGAGGCGCCCTCTAAAGGGATATCCTTCAAGGGTGTCCAACCCATGACTTGCGGTCCACATGTGACCCAGGATGGCTATGAATGTGGCCCAACACAAAACCATACATTTACTTGAAACATTATGGGATTTTATTTGTTTTCATTAATGTTTGTTATTTAATGCACAGCCCAAGACATTTCTTCTTTTTCCAGTATGGTCCACAAACACCACAAGTTTGGACACTCCTGTGATGGAGCAGACACCAAATGGGAGGCAAGATAAGGGTTTCTCATTCTTGAGGGCTTTTGTTCACTGAATGGGGAGTTCCCTTGTCCCTTCTGCTCCCTTTTAGACTTCCTAAAAGCCTGTTGACACTCACCATCAACCACATTCGGCTTACAAAGGATGCTTTCTTTTGGGCAGTCTCCCACTCTTTTGATCATCAGTGGGCAAACCACACCAGTGGGTGTGCTGGTCACAGACACATGATAAGGGGCTGAGAGGTGAGGAGGACCACACTGGTGATGTAATCTTCCAGACCCCTGTACCTTTCCTTCTACATGTGGGGTTTTTCCTTCATGGCTTCCCCCACTTATTCCATATCATCAGGGATTATGTACTTCTTTGTTGGAAGATATTTCCCTCTGTATACAATAAATATCAGACATTGGTTCTTACATATGTCCAGGCCAAGTGTCTTTTATATGGGTATCTAATGAGTCCCTGGGTGTGGTGGTGTAAGGAGTTAGAAAGCTCAGAAATGGAAAACACTTAACATTCAGAGTAGCAAATGAATACTGCTTGCTCATTTGCATTTTCCCTTTCACTCTGACTCATCTTCCCTTCTCCCACCCTATTATTGCCCCTCTACCAGCCCCACCCATTGGCACACCCTGTGTGATCTAAGAAGGGTTAACATCTGCCTAGAATGAAAGGTAGAGGGAAGACATGTTAGGTCTGGAGGGAGAAAGTAGGGGCTGGTCTGAACACTTTGGGGTCCCGGAGCCAAAGGGAGAAACAGGAGTTTAGAAACACAATATTTGAACCTAGGAGAGGATCGGGATCTAAGGGAGAAGCCTAAGGGGGAATCAGACTATGTCTTGTCACCAGAGCAGCCTACCAGTGCCTCATTAGTTTATTTTCCAGTTATCTATTGGGTAATATATGATATGCCAGGCACATATAAGTGATTTATCACTTGTTGAATAAATGAAAATTTGCCACAGCATGATGAAGATAATGGAATAATAAGAAACAGAAAAAATTTTGTTGAGTTTCTCAAACCTCATCCTTTCCCCAGGTTAACAAGTGTTAAAGTGTGAAAAGAGGGGAAATCTCCGAGGACCTTGACCCTTTGGGCAGGAAGTGAAAGAAACCCCAGAGTCCTGATTTCAGAGAAATGTCATTTGTCATCAACCAAGAAGTTTTTCTCTTCGAAGACCACTACAGATCCTTTCTGGGGTTGCCCCCTTCCCCTTCAGAGCTTGATGGAGGGATCTGAGTCATTCACACACCCTGTCTCCAGTGGTCGTTCCCACAACCAGTCAATGCTTCCTAGTACCAAGTCAGTATGCTTTTGGCCCTCTTTCACTCTCTCCTTGGAATCCAGATATTTTAGTCCTTTTTACTTCTGAGATAGTATAAAACAGCTTCATCTGCTAGAGCTCTGACACCTCTAAGAAACAGAATTAATACTATTTGAATGATGCTATGTACTGACAAACCACTCTCACATTCATCATTTCATCTTCACCTCCACCTCCAAATAAAATAAGCAGAGGTTATCCCTACTTCATGGATGAGGCAACAAGGCTCAGAGAGGACTTGCCCAAGGTGACTCAACTAGTAAATGGCAAAGAGAGACTCAAATTCAGGTCTGATTAGTTCAAAGTTTTGTTGCCTAAGATATATACTTCTTTGACTCTAGAAGTTCACAAATAAAATGAGATGGGAGGTTAAGAGGCAGAATGCCTGCATTCTGGAAGTAGAAGGCATGTTCTCTCCTGGAGGGCTGAAGCAGACCTAGGGGTATAAAACCACACCCCACATGGGGACTATGGTAGATTGATACTTGGGACACCCAATGGAAGACTGTGAAGTCAGGGGCGGAGTTATTGGGGGGGGCAGGAGGAGCCCAAATAGCAGTTCAGAACATGCGGTGGTTCAGGAGGAAGCTACAAATGGTGAGTGGTTTATTCTCCCCAGCTGAGACTTTTCTCCCATTATACCCCTCTTTCTGTTCACTTCCTGCCAATCTGTAGCCCTCTCCCTGAGGTGTCCAAGAAATAATCCTCCCTCCCACAAGGGTCCTAACTCAATACACCTAGGAATATGCCTGCTGGGCACTGAGACACTTGGGTCTGTCTCTTTGTATCTGGGTTCTCAGTTCTCTTCTTAAAAGCCAGTGTGTTGGTTTTGATGTGCAATAAATTGCTACCTTGTTAGGTTCTGTCTTTCTATTCTTCACTTTTGGTTTATGAAAAACAAAATTAAACTATCTCCTTATCTTTACTTTGAAAGTAAATAGCCTCTCCCTCTACAGTCCTCATCTCCCTTTCTCTCACTTCCTCAGTAGCTAAAGTCTTTTCCAAAACCTCTCCATCCTTGGGTCAAGAGCCTGCTCTTCTGTGGCTTCTGCACCTGTTCTCTTAACTCCCAGGGTAGGCATCTTTGGTCTCTTCCAGTTCCTTCTCTGAGGATGTGTTCTAGAAGCTTCAGCCTCAAGGAGATGATCCATTGATACTGTGGAGCCTGCCTTCTTGAAGCTATGATCCATGCCTTGCTGACTTTTCTGCCTCAGGACCCTCAGCTTGTGTGGGGACACACCAGCTCTCTAAACTTTCTCATGAAACTATGCCTTGCTCCATCCCTAACTGCCTGGGCTGACTGGGTCTTGTGGTGATTTCTTTGTCTCGAATGAAGAAGAGCCTGGCCTACTCAGAGGTCTTTCCCTGAAGAAGGGCTCAGAGAAGTAGAAGTATAAGTATCTGCTATCCTTTAAGTCACAGATTGCTAATTGGCAAAATCCAGTATATACTAGTCTTAAACCCACTACTTGATATACTTGTTAACTACCTGGTCCTTGCCTTTTAAGTCCTGACTTTGATCTAATTTCCATTCTCCTGTCACCCCACCCCAGCCCCATGTTATGGTTCTGGGTAAGCTCAGGTTCTCTCTTGGGTTAGTTTATTTGCTCCATTCAGGACAGAGAGCTCTGATCCAGAACCAGCAACTCACTCTTTCTTCCCTCACTTCCACAGGCTTAAGAATATGCTGTTCCTCCCTCCCCTTTCCACCATGGACCTCACACTGTGGCCTTTGTCTCAGAACCTCTGAGATTGGTACCCAGGCAAGGCAAAATGCCCCTGTCCCCAACAAGACTGCCTAGCCCCTATGACTCTGATCGGCTAGTACGGCTAGCAGCCAGGCTCTGGCCAGCACTATGTGATACCATGATCACTGTGGGGAGCCAGGAGTTCCCTGCCCATAGCCTGGTGCTGGCAGGTGTGAGCCAGCAGCTGGGCCACAGGGGCCACTGGACTTTGGTGAAAGGAATCAGCCCTTCCACTTTTGCACAGCTTCTGTACTTTGTTTATGGGGAGAGTGTTGAGCTGCAACCTGGGGAACTAGGGCCCCTTGAGGAGGCAGCCAGGGCCTTGGGGGTACAGTGTCTGGAAGAGGCATGCAGGAAAGCTCGAAGAGACAGGGCTAGAATAAAGCTGAGTCAGGAGCTGAAGGAACACCAGGAGGAGCCAGAGAGACCCATAAGGGATTCTGAGAGAGGAGTATGGGGCCTTGGAGAGCAGAAACCACAGTTTATTAGAACTGGTGGGAGAGAACAGGGGACAATGCACAATCACAGGCCACTAAGAGAGACCCCTGAGATAGCAGAGGCAGTGCAGGAGGGTCAGGGGGAGCAGATGAGATCAGAGGAGAAACTCAACCAATCCCTTGTTGACCACAGAGGTGTAGATGGGAAACAAGAAGTGATCATGTGGGTAAGGGAGAGTCCAGGAGGCTCTGAGGAAAGTCTGGGGGAATTGCCTGGCCCCTGGCCCCACCCAGGTTCCCTCCAAACTAGCATCACCTCCAGGCCCTGGTGGGCTGAGGCCCCTTGGTTAGGGGAAGGCCAGCCTGCCCTATGGAGGAGCTTCCTGTTGTTGCCACAGAGATATGGCACTGCCTTCTCCCATAGCACTCCCATTACTGGAGCTTGGCAAGAGGTCTGGCCTCAGGACCAGAGGTGAGTGAAGGGGCCTGATAAAAGCCTGCGTGGGAGGGAGTGACTCAGGTGAAGCAGTGGTGATGGGTGGAAAGGCACCACATTTCTTATCTTTGTTGTACATTTCCTGAGTTGGAGATAGGACAACAAGCTCCCACCACAGGGGAAGCCAAAGCCCAGCCCCTGAAAACTCATGACACCTTCCTCCCCAGGATGGGATCAGTCAGGGTCACAGGTTTTGCCAAGTCTGTTACTCTCCCCCCGCCCCCCAGGATCCCACTGTCTCTAAACCTCCACAAAAGTCTCTGGAGCCAAAACCAGTTGGCCTTCTCTAGACCTACCTCAGGTAAGCCCCTCATTGTCCTGCATGAACCCTGTAATATGGTCTCTTGGCTGGGGCTGGGGCTGCAGGAGTTCAGCCTGAGCAGGGCCCCTACTCCACTCTGCTTCCTCCAGGTTCCCTCCCCCAGGGCCCCACAAAGCTCAGCCCTGGGGAGATGGAAGAGTCTGATCAGAGGCACACAGGTGAGTCGAGTGGGAGTGCTTTTGCTTTACTCTCACCATAGCCCCTGATGTCTTGCCTGGGTATTTCAGTGATCCAGCCCTGGGATTCCCAGCTCTGCCCTCCTTTGTCTTCTTTATCCCCATAGGTGCACTTGCAACCTGTGTGGGTCATGTGGGCAAAGCAGGCCGCCCATCTCGCCAACGTCCTCCTCCACTCCCTCCTGCTACGTCCAGGCCCTATTCTTGTTCTGTTTGTGGAAAGAGGTTTTCACTCAAGCATCAGATGGAGACACACTACCGAGTTCACACAGGTACAGGCTTCCTATCCAATACAAGTTGTCTCCTTCTCTCCAAGCACTGTTCTACTCGCCCCGAAGTCCGTCTCGTACCTAGTTTCCACGCTACTCCCTTGCCCGTTGCCCGGTTTTACCCCTAGGCCAGCCTTCCCCCGCTTCTTTCCTTCACCAGCCTTCCCCTCCACCCGCCATAGGAGAGAAGCCCTTCTCCTGTGGCCTCTGTCCTCAGCGCTCCCGGGACTTCTCAGCCATGACCAAGCACCTGCGGACACACGGGGCTGCACCCTATCGCTGCCCTCTGTGCGGGGCCGGCTGCCCCAGCCTGGCCTCCATGCAGGCACACATGCGCGGCCACTCACCCAGCCAGCTCCCACCGGGATGGACCATTCGCTCCACCTTTCTCTACTCCTCCACCTCAAAGCCATCTCGGGCCTCGACCTCCCTGTAGGCCCCCTTCCTCCTGCACCTGAAGGAATATCAGGCTTCTTTGCCTTCAGCCAAATAATGAACACATTGAAGACGGGCCGGTGGGCTGACTAGGCTTCTGACCCGGCACCGCAGTTTCGGCTGTCTAGCAAATTCGGCTCTAAGAGGCATCGCAGAAAGGCCACCAAGAGCCCTCTTCCAGATGACCGCGGGGCTGCAAAAGCCTGAGTCAGCGATCCCGTGTGGGGAGGACAGTGAGGTTTTCACAAGTGAAGGTTAACTATGCGGAGACTCATCACCCAAATAAAGCGTTTTCTGTGCTTTCCTTTCAGGACGAGAAAGCCGAGTCCAGACTAGTCTGTGTGCGTGGGTGGGAGTGCGCCCAGCATTGCCCCTAATCCTGTAGCGGCCTCTAGTGGGCGTGCGTCCACAATTCCGCGCGGCGATCACCTCCCCTATCTCCCCGTCCTGCCCCACAAGCAGAAGGTCAGGAGGGTTCAAGGTTCAGATACTTGGCAGCAAGCCCTGAGGACGGAGGTTGTAAGAACCCAAGTTACTACCCTTTCTACAGCAAGCAAAGGTGTGAGGCGTCTGAGTCTTGGGGATACCAGGCCTGGGGCTTGAGGGGAACGCGTGCTCCGCTCTGCTTTCAACCACCCGTCTCCTCTCCTTGAGCACATGGGCCGCGGCTTCTACGGCATGTTTCCTCCACGCTGTGTGAAACGGCCGCCAGGTCGTGCCTCGAACTGAGACTAACCCTTGGCCACCGCCCCTTCCCCAGCCAAAACCTCCAGCAGTCCTGAACTTCATTTCCCAATGTCTTCGGGTTTCCCAGGGTAAGAAGCACCCGGCATTCTGGGAGTGGTAGTTCAAGCGGGCCGCTGGCCTACACAAGAACGGTGGGAGGAGTCTGGGGCGAAAACCACACCTCCTAGTGGCTCCGGAGCTAGCTTTCTCTTTGGGTCGGGTTGGGTCCCCCACAGACCTAGCTCTCGCGGGCCTTAGCTCCCGGCGGAAGGAGCGAGGTGCCTGGACTACATTTCCCTGAGGTCCCTGCGCCTCACCCCTCTTAGGCCACGACGCGGCGTTATTGCTCTTCAGACAGGGTCTAAGGGTGACGGCTCACCGGCCTCGGACTCCTGTTCCCGTGGTGCCCCGCGCGCAGCCGGCCCAGCCCCCGGCTCCCGCCAGACCAGCGGCGGCGCGGGTTGTTGTCGTGAGCCGCGGCTCTCCCACCCTCCTCTCCGTCCCCTCCCCCCGCCCCTGCTTTCGGGCCGCCCCTCCCCCTGCCTCCCCGGCCCCTCTCACGGTGCCAAGATGGCGGCGGCGGCGGGCGGCGGCGGTTGCCCGGGGCCTGGCTCCGCGCGGGGCCGCTTCCCGGGCCGGCCGCGAGGCTCCGGTGGGGGAGGGGGCCGCGGCGGACGGGGCAGCGGGGCCGAGAGAGTGCGGGTAGCTCTGCGGCGCGGCGGCGGCGCGGCGGGGCCGGGCGGAGCTGAGCCAGGGGAGGACACGGCCCTGCTCCGTTTGCTGGGGCTCCGCCGGGGCCTGCGCCGGCTCCGCCGACTGTGGGCCGGCCCGCGCGTTCAGCGAGGCAGGGGACGGGGCCGCGGCTGGGGCCCGAGCCGGGGCTGCGTGCCAGAGGAGGAGAGCAGTGACGGGGAATCCGATGATGAGGTGAGGCGGTCGGAGGCGTTCCCAGCGCCGGGCTGGGCGGAGGCCGGGGGCTTCCAGGGGTCTAAGTGGCCCACAGGAGAGACGTGGGGAAGCGAGATTCTCAGGGCCCCTGCGGAGAGAAAGGGCCCTGGAAATAGGCATGGGAGGAGGTAGGCTGCACGGAGCTGTCGGTGGAAGGGTTTTTATAAGTGAAGAGAGAGGTCTGAGGTGCAAAGGGGCTCTTGGGCCCGTGGCGGGTTAAGCTGAAGTGTTCTGAGCTGATCCTTCTTGGTAGCTGACAAAGCTAAGGCAGTAGAGGTTTGGGCGAGGAAGTTAATGGGGACTGCATGCCTAACCAGTGGTGGTTGACAGCAGCAGCTTGGCTTTAGTGGACCCGGGCTAGGGCTCCCTGGGCTCTTACCTGTAACCTGCCCCGCCCAGCCTCATAACCTCTGACATAGCCCTGGTTTCACCAGTGCCCCATTTCCTCTTCTGACCTAAAGTGGAGAGAGGGTAGAATGGTGGAGGGCTTCCTCTTAGGGGCACAGATTGAAGAGTAATGGAATGAAGACTAAGATGGGGCATTCTAGCAGGTCTGAGTTCAGCTCAGGATTTATCCTCAGCCTCTCAGAAAAAGCAGGAGTGTGTGGGGATCCTAATGTGGTAAACATTTGATACACACTATGCTTGGGAGGCCCTTTTCTCATCTTCGTTCTGGAAGAAACTACAGCTCAAGAGAATATAAACAGAGGTTCCACTTTTTTTCTGAGTTGGAGTGTAAGGGAATCTGATGGTAGTACCTACTGCCTGGCCTGAGAAGACCCTGTTCTGTTTCCTTCTGTGCCTGTGAACCACTGATGGCTGTGCTGGCATGGTCTGACACAGGAAGTGGGAGTTCAGAATACTCTGTCTTCATCCTTAAGGAAGGAGAGACCCTGTTTTCCACTCCCTTCACCTTCCAGACTTTTTAGTTTCTCTGAAAATAGGGGTCCATTAGGGGGAAGCTGGGGATATTCCTCAATACCTGAGTCTCGGGTGGAACAAGGGCTTTGGCACTGACTGCTGTTTCTCCCCTCCACCCTTGGCCCCCTAAATCAGGAATTTCAGGGTTTTCATTCAGATGAAGATGTGGCCCCCAGTTCCCTGCGCTCTGCGCTCCGGTCCCAGCGAGGTGAGTGATGGGGAAACTCTACCTCTGTAGCTTTATAAGAATGTTATTCTCACTCATTGTGCCAGCTTTTCCCAGTTCAAGTAAAGTCTTCATCAGTTACTGAGTGTGTTCTATGTTCAAAGCCCAAGCTATGCTGGGCTGTGGGGGAAACAGACAAGTAAGATTTAGTACTGGCCCTCCTGGAGCGTGTTCCTTAGTCCACAGGGCTGGAATGACCCATTTCCCCACACCTATTCTCCTTTTAGGTCGAGCCCCCCGAGGTCGGGGCCGCAAGCATAAGATGACCCCCCTTCCGCCTCCTCGTTTAGCCGATGTGACTCCTACACCCCCAAAGACTTCTGCCCGGAAACGGGGTGAGGAGGGCACGGAACGGATGGTGCAAGCACTGACTGAACTTCTCCGGCGGGCCCAGGCACCCCCAGCCCCCCGGAGCCGGACATGTGAGCCATCCACCCCCCGACGGTCTCGGGGGCGGCCCCCAGGCCGGCCAGCAGGCCCCTGCAGGAAGAAGCAACAGGCAATAATGGTGGCAGAAGCAGCTGTGACAATCCCCAAACCTGAGCCCTCACCTCCTGTGGTTCCAGTAAAACACCGAACTGGCAGCTGGAAATACAAGGAGGGGCCTGGCCTAGGATCTGGAACCCCCAAACGTGGAGGACAGTCTGGGCGAGGAGGCCGTGGAGGCCGAGGCCGAGGCCGAGGCGGACACCCCCTCGTGATCAAGTTTGTTTCAAAGGCCAAAAGAGTGAAGATGGGACGATTGTCCTTGGGACTTGAATCAGGTCAGGGTCAAGATCGACATGAGGAAAGCTGGCAGGATGCCCCCCAAGGGAAAGTTGAATCTGGACAGGGAGATAGCCCTTGCTGGAACAAGGAGCAGAAGTTGGAGGAGGAGGGAGTGGAGGAGAAAGAAGAGAAAGACAAGGAGGAAGGGAAAGAGAAGGAAGAGAGAGCTGTAGCTGAGGAAGAGGTGATGTTAGCCGAGGACAAGGAAGAGTCAAAGCTGCCCTCACCACCCCTGACTCCTCCGACCCCTCCACCTCCCCCACCTCTTCCATCGCCCTCAATATCACTCTTCCCATGTTGCCCTCCACCACCCTCAGTGACCCCACCACCTCCACCATCCCCTCTTCCACCTCCTGCCCTGGAGGAGCAGGAAGAATCCCCTCCCATGGTCCCAGCTACGTGCTCCAGGAAGAGGGGCCGGCCTCCCCTGACTCCCAGCCAACGGGCAGAGCGGGAAGCTGCTCGGGCAGGACCAGAGGGCACCTCTCCTACTACTCCAACCCTCAGCACCACCACAGGAGGCCCTGTGGAAGACAGCCCCACTGTGGCCCCCAAAAGCACCACCTTCCTGAAGAACATCCGGCAGTTTATTATGCCTGTGGTGAGTGCCCGGTCCTCCCGTGTCATCAAGACACCCCGGCGATTTATGGATGAAGACCCCTCCAAACCCCCAAAGGTGGAGGTCTCACCTACTCCACGGCCCCCTGTTGCCATCTCCCCGCTTGCCCCCCAGGAACCAGCACCAGCCCCCTCTCCACCATGTACCCCAACTCCTCTATCTACCCCAGTCCCACTCCCTGAAAAGAGACGGTCCATCTTAAGGGAACCCACGTTTCGCTGGACCTCACTGACCCGGGAACTGCCCCCTCCTCCCCCTGCTCCTCCCCCAGCCCCACCCCCACCCCCTGCTCCTGTCACTCCATCCCGGAGGCCCCTGCTCCTTCGGGCCCCTCAATTTACCCCAAGTGAAGCCCACTTGAAGATCTATGAATCGGTGCTTACTACTCCTCCTCTTGGGGCCCCTGAAGCCCCTGAGCCAGAGCCGCCTCCCGCTGATGAATCTCCAGCTGAGCCTGAGCCACGGGCAGTGGGCCGCACCAACCATCTCAGCCTGCCTCGATTTGCCCCTGTGGTCACCACCCCTGTTAAGGCCGAGGTGCACCCACCTGGGGCTCCAGCTCTGAGCAATGGGCAGCAACCTCAGGCTCAGCTACAGCAGCCTCTACAGGTCTTGCAAACCCAGCTGCTGCCCCAGGCACCAACACCACAGCAGCCGCCACCACAGCAGCTGCCACCACTGGAAAAGGCCCGGACTACAGGCATGGGTTCCTTACCACTGTCTGGTGTAGAGGAGAAAATGTTCAGCCTGCTCAAGAGAGCTAAGGTGCAACTATTCAAGATTGACCAGCAGCAGCAGCAGAAGGTGGCATCTTTGATGCTGGTAAGCATGATAGGGTCCAGGCCCCTGCACCCAGACATTTAGCCTTGGAGCCAGTCCTCCCCTGTTCCTTAGCTTCCTGTATTCATTCCCTGGTTCCATCTTCACTTTCCAGTCTCTGATCCTGATTATTATTTCCCCACCAGCCAAGTCCTGGAGGGCAGATGGAGGAAGTCGTAGGGACCATCAAGCAGATCTCAGATAGAGGTTCTGTCAAGTCTGAAGATGAATCGATGGAAACTAAGCGAGAGAGACCATCGGTATGGAGTGGGTGGAGGGTCCTCTGAAGGAGGTTTGTTGCAGGAGCACAAGTAGCAACATCTCACATGTGTTTGTGATTT